CATGGTCACCACCCATCTTGAGGAGTTTGCCCCCTCACATATACTAATGTGCCACAAACAGGACTTTAATATCACCAACCATTCCCATGTTATTAAGGTGTATCCATATAAATGGCCCACCCTGTACATCAGTGTGACAGGTTGAAGGACTACTGTTGAAGGACTACTGCATATAAAACTGTTCAGTTAATACTAATTCATATCAGTTCATATAAGGACAAATAATGTAAATATGGTAAGAAAATGGTTAAGAGGTTATTTTTTTCATGTTATATTAATGGCTTTCATGTTACTTAAGAGAACTGCAATCTATACATCACTGATCGGCTAGTAAACCTTTTCTGGGATCGATTTGTAGTGTCTCTATTCTCCACTAGGGGGCTTTCGCGCGTTCTCCTCACTGCAATAAACGACTGCACAAGAGACTCAAGTCATAATCACTCTCGTGATTCTTTCCCCCCTGTTTTCAGGGGTGTAGCGTCAGCCGGGATTTTGCACAACACTCCTATTGTCAAAACTGTGAAGAAGTGGACTAACGCAGCAAAGCAGGAACTGTAGGACTGTTTTGACTGCACTGATTGTGGTGACAGGGCCCTGTACAAGCAGACCAGGAACACACTGACCAGGGAGATCAAAGCAGCCAAAAGGATCTACTCCCAGAAGCTAAAAGAACGGCTCTCAGCCAACAACCCTGCGTCAGTGTAGAGGGGCCTGCAGGAAATCACCGACTACAGACACTCCCCACCCCCTGTGGAAGCAAACTAAGACCTGGCAGATGGGCTGATGGCCATCCGTCGGCTCTTTGTTACTTTGGAAACATGGCTTGAACAATTTCTCTTCAACGACGTAATCTGATATCAACTGATCTCTTTACCCGTCGGCTTCCCGTGGCTGACATGCGACTGGCTATTGCAGATAATAATACAACAGCTTCTTGCCATTTTTTGCTTCTTTTTATCGCTGTGTAGCCGATTTCAATTGAAAGCCTGTGTGCGCTAGTACCTCTTGCCATGACTTCCCAGAATCCTTTGCGGTTTTACCCCTGAATGACGTCACATTTTCAAAATGTGACGTAAAACCGCAAAGGATTGTGGGTACGAGTGGCACACAGGCTTTCACATGAAAACAGTCACACAGCAATAAAAAGAAAGACAAAGAATGGCAAGAAGCTGTTGTATTATTAACTGCAATAGCCGGTTGCATGTCAGCCACGGGAAGCCGACGGGTAAAGAGATCAGTTGTTATCGGATTACGTCGT